GGGCCTTGTAGAGGAGGCTTGTGAGCGGTGTCTGTTTCTGTTCCGGTTTGGGGTGACCGAGGGGACCAGGGCAGGCTGTGTCCACGACCACGCTGTGGTCACACGGGCCCCCCCGCCCCCCCCCCGGGGCCTGGGCTGTCCCCTGGGAACACGGTGGCAGTTCTCGTCCGCCTCTGGGACGGTGAGTTCGAGTGCAGGGAAAGCACCCTGCGCAGATCGGCACCGGCGTCGATTCTGGTTTTATTACCTTTATATTTATTATTCCTCTGCGCGCCAGGCTGGAGCCTGAAGGCTCCAGGCGGCTGTGAGTTGCGCACACGCGTGTGTGTGGTGTGGGGGGGCTCCTCACGCCTGAGATCCTCATTTCCAATGTCCGCCTCACGGGGGGCCGTGCTGCGGCGAGTGGGCCTCGAGTTGGCAGCCGGTCACTGACGTGGCTGCGCGCTCTCTCTGGCTGTGGCCACCGGGTCCCAGGACACACCTCAAACTCCCCAGGTGGGGGTGCAGGCCCCGGCCAGCCCAACCCCTGTCCCGCGGTGCCCAGCCCCCACGGGCTGCCACGCGGCCCCGGGCAGCCGCCACTGTGCCCCGGGAGGCTGTTTGCCCAGGCTGTCACCGCGTGTCTCTGCCGGTGACGGGAGCCGTGCCCTGGCGTTCATCCCCCTCACCGCCGGTGGATGCCGACGTGTGTTTTTAAAGGGTGTAATTTCTATCAACTTCAATTAGAGCTATTTTTACTTTTTGTCACCCTGAAGAATGTCCCCGTGGCTCAGCTGCCATTTTTCACCGTTACACCCCCGGCAAGGGCTGGGAGAAAAATTAATAGTCTAGTGATCACTTAGCTAATGCGCTGTCAGCACTTGATAAACTGACTGCCCCGGGTGACGCCGGGTGCCTTCCACAGCAATTATGTCACGTTGCCTGTCCGGGGTGGCGCGGAGCCCCGTGGGGCTGGCCGCCTCCCTGACCCCGCTGGCAGGTCCTCCTGAACCTGATGGGTGGCCTTGTCATGGGCACAGGTGACAAGAGGTCTGCCTGTGTGAGGCCGCAGGCCGGCCTCTGTCCGTCTGCAGGCTGTGTGGTGTTTGCAGGTTGCTGCATGTCTCTGAGCCACGTACGTGGAGCACAGACTCTCAGGGTGGAAAGACAGGTGCCGGGCCTGTCCCGCTGGGAGTTGAAGGAGGGCAGCGCTGTGCACCTGGCTTCTCGTTAGCTCCCTGGAGGCCCTGGGCCTGGAGGACGGGAAGGAGCCGCTGACATACGGGGCAGGAGATGAAGTCCCAGACTGAGCACAGTACACAGTGTCCAACCGTGTGTGCGCGCCCGCAGCTATGTACGCACACACGCACACTGCACGAGTGTCACCCACAGTCGGCCCACACCGAGCATGTGTGCACACGTCAAATGCACCTGCAAGCACACCTAAATATGTAACGTGGATGGCCACGCACGCCCCACGTGTGCACGTGCGCACACAAGGATGGGCGTACCAGGGGTCTAAGCGTGACCATGGCGTCCGCGTGTGGCCTGGCTGTGACGTCACACCAGACAGACGTGGCGTCCGCGTGTGGCCTGGCTGTGACGTCACACCAGACAGACGTGGCGTCCGCGTGTGGCCTGGCTGTGACGTCACACAGGATGGACTCCAGGTCCCGGCTGGTGTCACGGCTTGTAACTGCTGGTCACTCTTGTTTGTGTCTCAGCAAGAAAACCCCAAACGAGCACAGCGTGGGCTGGGGACCCCGAGGGTCCTGGCTGGCCCCCCTGAGAGCCAGAGCCCTCCCGGGCCAGGGACCCCCTGCTGCGCCTCAGACCCGACAGGGGTCTCGGGCCCTTGACCCGCCCCTTCCCAGCACGCGGTGCGTCTCTTCCCTGCGCTGCAGTGCGGCTGCCACGCGGGTCCTGGCTCAGGCGAGCGTGGTCTGGGTACGGGCCTGTAACCCTTGGCCGTGGGGAAGTGGGGTGTGGACGTGGGGACACAGTCCCCCGCTCTGCTGGGGTGGGGTCATGCAGAAGAGCCTGGCTGCTGCCCCTGAGGGGCGGCACAGGCTGGGGCGGAACCTGTGGAGTGGGCGGGGCCGCCAGCCCCTCGCCACCCCCCTGCGCGAGCCGCCCGCAGGCCCAGGCCCCACGCCACCAGCCCTCCCCTCTGGCCGCTCCCCGATGGACGGCTGGAGGTTTGCTCAGAGTGGACCTGGGCCCTGCGTCCACGCGGGTTGCTGCTGTCATATCTGCCCTCCAGGCTCCTTCCCGCCAGGCCCCCGGCTGTGAGCCCACGCGAGTCCCAGCCGTCCCAGCCACCAGCCTCCCGCGTGATCACTGCATGCCGCGCGCTTTATTAGCCCCTGATGACTCATTTGCCAGGTGCCGTGTGTATTCCACAGCTAATAACTTTCCAGTTATGCCCGGTCTTTGCGCACACGGAACAGCTCTTCGGTGGTCGGCCTGTTGGGGCCAGGCTGCGGGCAGGCAGCTTGGGGCCCCTCCACGCCTCGAGGCCTGGGCAGTTCGCCCAGCCTTCGCTGCGGCCTCCAGAGTCTCTGCCGCCATCAGGGACCGTTACGGGAGGCTGAGGCCGCCGAGGCCCAGGCATTGGCCTGTGCCCAGCCTGCCACCTCATGGGGCAGAACAAAGCCCTCTGGTGCTGGTCGTCTTGGAGGGGCAGGGGAGGGGCCGAGGGCTCCCTGGCAGGATGGGGTCTGCACACCCTTCTCACTGGTACCAGGCCAGCCAGCGTGTCCCCAGCGTGTCCCGATTCTCTGCTCTGACTGCTGGGACTGTAACCTTGGCTCCGTGACCTTGAGCAGCCGGCTTAGCTGCTCAGCGCCTCTGCTTCCTCCTCTGCGGAGGCCGCCTCCAGCCGAAGCCTGGGGTACTGTATCTGCCACAACACTGCTGGCCTGGAAAAGGGGTGCCGGCTGGAAAGGGCAGCGGGCATCCCGTATCACGTGGCCCTGGTTCTGTGAGCGGCGGCGGCTGTACGGTGGGGCAGGGAGTGGAGGGCCGACAGTGACCTTGGGGGAGGGACGGCAGCTTTCTCCCGGGAGCAGTGCCACTCTGCCACCACATGGAAAGCCGTTGAGCATGCGCCCTGGATTCGATCCTCAGCACAGCACAGGACAGGAGGCCGCTGACCGCGGACCCCGCCGGGGTGTGTGTCCTTTCCTGTCAGCTTAGACTGTGCCCCACACCTGGAGTGCGCCTCCCCGTCCCTGCAGGCCTTGTTCCCATTCCACCTGCTCCAGAAAGCCCTCCTGGATTTCCCTGCCCTTGGGGCCTCCCGATCCCCACACTTCACAGTGTGTCACCTGTACCCTTCCCCCCCCCAGCCGGGTCGGCTGCTACTTGCTCTTTAAAACTACTTTCCCTGGTGGCTTCCTGAGCTAGCTGATGCCGCAGGCCACTGCTTGAGTTCAAAGCCCTCCGCTGCCCCTTACTGGGCAAGCCCAGCCCGCAGGAGAGCCATGGGAAGGGTGAGCCGGGTCGGTGCGCGGTGTGTGCAGTAGCTGCTCAGTACGAGGGACTCTTCTCCTTTGTCCTCTGTTGGGCCCAGCGCTGAGCAGAGCCAGGCTGGCTGGACAGCACCCCGTGACGGACTCCTCCCTCCACCCCGTGACCCAGGGCAGACAGACAGCATCCCCGGGCCGGCTTCTCCCGAGTGAAACCTGGTGGGATGTTCCGGCAGGACTCGGGGCGAGGCTGTGGCGTCTCCAAGGCCCTACAGGGCCAGACCCCTTCCTGGGGTCAGCACTCTGCCCACTGTGGGTCCCCAGGGAGCGGGAGCGAGCGAGCGGCTCTGGCTGGAGCCCCCCCCCCCCTGAGGGCGGGGGTGTGGCCTGCGGTCTGGGCAGTGTCACCATATGGATCCTATAAATGAGAGCCTGCCAGGAAGTGCCCCGTAAATCTATCGGTCTCTCACCACGGACCGCGGAGCCGGCGCTCGGCCGCCGAGTCCCGGGCCATCCATCTCACTTAGTACTTCCGTTTTATGGCACAGATCCTACCAAAAAAAAAATCATCAACATAAAGCTGCTTTTCACCAACCACAGGGCTCCACCGTGTCGCGGGGAGCAGGGGGCCCCCGCACCCCAGGCTTCTGCGTGCCTAAGAGGCTGCCACACCCAGCAGGCCCAACTCAACGCCCCCCGCCCGGGCCTTGGGTCATGGCCCGCTGGCCCTGCCTGCGACCTCAGGAGGTCTGGTGATCCCTTCCTGAGCCTCGTTTTTTACAGCTTGGAGGAGGGAGGCGCTGGGGGGAAGGGTCGGTACTGGGCCGGAGTTCAGGCCTTCGTCCTCCAGCTGCCCCTCCACCACCAGAGCCACACCTCCACTCCAGCCTTTTGTGGGTTGATTGGAGATGAGGGTTGCATGGGTGGACTTCTTTGCCTGGGCTGACCTCAAATCACAATCCTCCGATCTCAGCCTCCTGAGTAGCTAGGATGACAGGCGGGAGCCACCAGCACCGGGCTCCAGGCGGAACTCCGACAGCCCTCAGTTGGCAGCTGGAGCTGGGCAGGGGTGTAGGCTGAGGGCCAGGTGTGGATCTGGGGGGATGAGGTGGTTCTGGAGAGGGTAGGGTGGCAGGGGCCCCACCGTGTGACCGCCAGGGAGCTAGGAAGGTATCCATTGTGCAGCTTGGGATCCCTGGGCCCCACCTGCTGAGCAAGGAAGACACTGACCGTTCCCTGGCCGCCCTGAGCCAGCCTGGCCGTGCCCTCTGCCCACCGAGGCCAGGTGTGGCAGGGGGGGGGCGGGGGTGGGGGGGATGGCGCCCGGGGCGGGCGGGGGGGGCGGGGGTGGGGGAATGGCGGGCGGGGGGGGGGAGGGTGGGGGGGATGACGCCCGGGGCGGGCGGGGGGGGCGGGGGTGGGGGGATGGTGCCCGGGGCGGGGGTGGGGGGGGCGGGGAGGGGGATGGCGCCCGGGGCGGGCAGCCGTTTCTTTCCTTCGCAGTCTGCGGCCGGTGCAGCCTGCTCACCTTGTCCACTCTTCTCCCTGCAGGTCACCTCTGCGTCTCTGGAGTCCTCGGCAGCCGTCCACCCTCCAGCCCGGGAGCCGGAGTTGCCCCCCGGGCCCCCCGCCGAGAGCCTGCCCAGGGGCCCCGGGACCGCCCCGGGGTCGCAGCCCACCTCACGCCTGCAGAGCAGCCAGCATGGGGACGGCGCAGAGCTCCTGGGCACAGGTAAGGCCCGCGGGTCTCGCCGGGCCCGCCTCTCCCTGGCGTCCATGGGAAACCCTGTGCCAGGTCCTCTCCGGCCTCCGTCTCGTGTTCGTGGGCTCTGAGCTGCGTGTCCAGCCAGTCATGGGGTCCAGGAGCCCCCCGCCGGGGGTTGAGCGCGGCTTTGGTGACCGTGCCATGACCGGCCCCCTCCCCCCTCGCCTTGCGTGGGCCCGGGCAGCGCCGCCCGAGCCACAGCGTGGCAGTGTTCATGTCTGCGCCGGGTCACTTCATGTCCGTGCTGAGAGGCCCCGCAGCCGCCCCCTCTCACAACGTGAGCGGGGCCCGGGGCCCGAACTCACGGCCCATCCGCAGCACACCGTGGCTGCTCTGATCTGAAGGGTCCCAGGGAAAGTTCTAGTGAGGAGCTGGGCCTGGAGACCAGGGGCAGGGGCATGTCACTCCTGGTCCCTGTGTGGTGGCCACGGGAGCCCAGAGAGGACCATCTCCAGGGATGGAGGCCACAGCTGCGGTGGGGACTGGGCCGGGGGACACGGGGACCAGGCCGGCCTCCGTCGCACAGCGCCCGGGGAGGCTGGGTCAGCGGGGGGCAGCTGCTCCCCGCAGGCCGTGGGGTCTGGGGTTGCATCCCAGCCCCACGCCAGGCCGGAGCACGCCCGTCAGCCACAGGGGCGGCTGCGGCTCAGAACACCACGGTGACGAATGGTTAAGCGCCCACTGCCACCTCTCGCCCCACGGCGGGCGGACGGCACCGCCGGAGCCATGGCTGCCGGCTGGCCACGTGCCAGACCTGACGTGGGCTTTGCACAAAACACGTGGGTGCACAGCCACACACGCCAACATGCACGCGCATAGGAAGACACGCTAACACACGCACAGACACACCCAGACAGGCTGTACACACATGTATGCACACACACGTAAACACACTCGTGTACACGTAAACACGCACACGCTCGTAGACAGGCTGTGACGTGCATGGATACGTGTGCACACACAAGCACACATACACACTTGGAGAAGTTGTGACAGGCCTGGACTCATGCACGCGTCCGTCCTGGAAAGCTCTGTGAGTGAAGGTGACGAAATGGGGAAAGCCCCCAACTGTCTTCACGCGTGGACTCACCTGCCTCGGTCTACCCATGCGTGCTACCGCCTCCCTTTAGTTAGATGTCCACCCTGAGGAAGGGGGGTGGCGGTGTAGTGACAGTTGGAGGGGCAGCCCCCTCCCCCCCCAACCTTTGCTCCGCCCACTCCTGTGAGTGACAGCCGTGGCAGCCAGTGGGCCGAGGGCGTGCCTGTGTCCCCAGAGCTGGCGAGGCTGAGGTAGGAGGACCAGGACGCGGAGGCCAGCCTGGGCTTCTCACAGGTGCACGCGTGGATTTATTACAGGCAATTCTCACCAATGCAGGGCAAAGATAACGGATAAAATCAGAAGCTCAGATTTACGTCCCAGCGTGTCTGCAGCCGCTTGGTGGGTGTGGAGCCCTTACTCCCCCCCCCCCCCCCCCCGGCCTGTGGTGGTTGGTTGTGGAAATGGTGGCAGGGTTTGTGAACGTCACCTCCCCAAAGCCAGTGCTGCCCAAAAAGCAGAGCCCAAGTGTATAGGCTTGACTGAAGTATGGAAGCAAAATCCCGAGGTGGGCGGCCCTCAGCGGGCGACGGTAGTGACGCGGACCGGGCACCGGCCGGGCAGCACCCAGCGAAGCGTGCCTGGTGCTCAGCTGTGGGCCCTGCGGAGCCTTGAACCGCAGGTCTGCGGGCCTCTCCTGGCCCGAGCCCCGAAGCCCGGGTGAGTCTCATTGTAGTGCCCGTTTTCATTGCTTTGCCCTCACAGAAGCCGCCCGCGCTCATTGGCTTGCGGCCCCTTCCTGGGCCTCAGGGCCGGGGGTGTGGTGTCTCTGCCCGCCCCCCCCTCGGGCCGTGCCAAACCCTGTCCGCCCTGCCCCCCACCCAGGTCCACCTGCCCCGCCGCCCGCGGTTCCCCACGGCGGGGGCTTCGAGCCCCGGGGGCTTCCCGGTCAGGACGTGGGTGTCCTTGCGGTCCGCGTTCTGCCGGCCGTGACACTGCCTAAAACCCCAGCGCCCGCCAGGCTCGCACGGTGACTTGAGACCCCAGGGTCGATGTGGGGGCCCGGCTGGGTGACCCAGACGCTCCACATCCCTCCAGTGTGGATCTGAGCTTAAGCCCCAGCCCTGGTGCTGCAGATAGTGGCCGGATGCCGCCTTGTGCCTCGGTTTCCCCACATGAAGGGCGAGGGTACACCTTGATCTTGGCAGTGCCGGCGTCTCCTGGGGTCTCCTTCGTGTGAGGCTGGAAGTGCAGCCTGCCAGCTCGTCGTCTGCCTGCTGAGGGGTGGGCGGTGGTGGCGGAGCTGGTGGGGGAGGGGGCGGGGGAGGGGGCGGGGGAGGGGGGAGGTTCGTGCCCGCAGAGGCCGCCTGCCTCGCCCAGGCGCTGAGCAAACCCTGCAGAGCCCACGGCCCCCTGGGAACGCGGGTTCCCTGCGCGGTGCTCCGCGCACCTCCTGCCGCTAAGTGTGTGGAGGATGAAGAGCCGGGTGGTAGCTCATGCCTGCAATCCCGGCACTTGGGAAGACGTGAGTTCAAGGCCAGCCTGGGTCACGTAAGGAAGCTCTGTCTCAGAGTGAGAACAGGAAGGGTTTTATGTGGGGAAGAGGCTGGGGGAGGAGACGCGGGAGGGAGCGTCTGGATCCCGGCGTGGGGCACCCGGGGCCATCTGAGGGCTGAAATCACCCCTCCGGTACCCCGCACCGAGGCACCCTGCCTCCGCCCTCTGGACCCCTGAGACGACACCCCCAGGAACCACGTGGCCTCTCCTGCACAAGCTGGTTGGCACCACGCTGGCTTACTTACATGCCCCCCCATGCCCACACCATCTTCTGCCACGGCCTGTGCCATTTGGAAACCACCAGGCACCGCTCCAAGCCCCGTCCCAGTAGGCTGTGACAGCATCTTGGCGCCTCCACACTGCCATCTCTGTGCACTTGTTCACAAGCGCGTATTGAGCGCCCACTGCATGCAAATGCCGTGCTGGGCACCGGGGCCAGCCATACACAACGTGCGGGCGCCACACCTGCTCCCCAGAGCAATCCTTCCACAGCTCGTGAGCAAGGATGTGGTGAGCTCCACGGCACAGTGCTTACCCGGCATGCACTAGGTTTGATTCTCAGCGCTTACCCAGAATGCTCTAGGTTTGATCCTCAGCCCCAGTGCAAAGGCCCTGGGGTACCGGTCACAGATCACAGGTAGGCAGTCAGATTTTTTAGTTTAAGTTAAGTAGCTTTTAAGACATCTAGCACTCAGGTGCCGGCTGGGGAAACAGATAGGGTGGGTCAGCCCTCTCCAGCTCAGGAGTGAGTTCCAGCAAGACCTGCTCTCTGCCCAGCGCCTCCAGCCAGGCAGGGCGGTTTTGTTCTGGCGTGCTGAGGGTCACATGGAAGTCACATCTGATGAGAAGCCCTGACTCAGGAGCCCGTGGGACACTGGCCACGGTGACAAGCCAGCCGCCGCAGGCCCCTGCCTTCCCCGGGGATTGCAGCGTGGCCAGGTCCAGCCCTAGGGACTTCGGGGTCACAGGGCCATGGGTCATGCATCCGAGCCCCCAGGGTGCGGCGGGTGGGAGAGGGGCCAGGGTTCCCTGACTTGGACACGTTCGGTGAGCGGCGAGCACTTCTGGAGCACTTTAGAGGGGTGTTAAGTGAGCACAGTACCTGGTGCTGGGGCAGTGCTGTACCTCAGTTTCCCGAGGCCAGTCATGGGGCCGGGCATTTTCCCCCCTGCCCGGAAAGGGCTGCCGGAAATAGCAGCCTATGGACTTTGCCAGTCAGTGCCCGAAGCCTGAGCTGAACGGCAGAGCCAGCGCCACGGGGTGCCGACCGCCCTCTCCTGGAGCACTGGGCATTGGGCCTGCCCGGCCAGGCCTGGCATGGCACCCCTGGCCAGAGGGGGCGGCCTGAGAGGCAGCGGGGGCGGGGCTGGATTCCTTCCCATCCCCCAGCCCTGCCCGCAGTTCGCCATTTGCCCAGGAGGTGGCGCTGTGGGGGCACCAGGCACCCACCAGGGCCTCGGCCCCGGAACCCAGCCCAGCACCCTAAGGCCCTTGGGAAACTCCGCTCAGCACCCTCAGGCCCTGGCTACCTCTGCCAGGGCACAGCCTGTACCCAAGAGCAGCCAATGTGGGCCCCACCTCCAGCCTGCTGGACCTGGCTGTCCCCAGAGACACGGAGATAGACCCCATCTCAGGGGCACTGGTGTAATCCTGGAGGGCTTTAGGAAGAGGTGGCACCTGGTCCCAGGGGGCAGAAGGAGACCCCGGGGTAGAAGACGCGAGGCTGGCTTTCTGGGTGACAGTGGCACCTCCTCCCGCGTTGCTCCCTGTCTCTCCTGTCTCTGTGGAGCTGTGGGGGTCACCAGGGCAGCCCCCATGCCAACTCTCATCAGGGATGTTCTCTGCCACACACGCGTGCGTGCGCACACGCATGTGCACCACCTGTGGAGGCCAGGCTCCCTCCTCCCGGGCGGGAAGCTGGACCACTCTTCCTGTCTTGCCCTTGTCTTTCTGACCTTTGACCTTGGTGCTGACTACTGACCACCGCTTCTGTCTGGAGCGCATTAGGCATTAGTTCTCCCCCTGCCCGCCCCTCCCACACCCCGTGCGTCCAGCTGGAGGTTCTGGGCTGGGTGCCAGGCGCCGCGCAGGGCCGCTCTGGTTGCGGGACGGTCATGGATGGGGCCGGGGCCTCTCTGCTCCCAGCATCACGCCCCCCACGGGGAGCGCAGGCCGCATCTTGGCTGGGGGTTTGCAGAGACGGCGGCAGCCTGGACAGGCCAGGCCGGAAGTGGCTGCCGTGGCTCCCGCCCCGCCACCACAAAGTGGGGCCGGCTCCTGCGTGCAGCCCCGGCGTGCCAGGGAGGGAGGGAGGCCGGGCCGTTCTCTGCCGGGCCGCCCTGCCCGTCCCCTCCGCCTGCCCAGCCCGGCCAGG